TGAATCCATCCACGTCGGTTATGATTGTACGCGGTGTGGTAGAGTCGTGCAGATCTTGTTGTTAGTCGCCAGTGCGAGCTCTTACTCGCCTCCGCGGGCGCCGTCGTGGTCCCTGGACAACGGTTAACCCGGTCTAAAGAGAGCCGCGAGCCTCGGGGTAGTTGTTCGAGTCGTCCACAATGTACGAACACATTGAACGAACTCAATGACCAGTTACTAAATAAATGACGCATAATGTCGGGTAATTGAATGTGTTCGGGAGTGAGCTGTGAAAGATAAAACGTGAATATAGAACATGAGCGCTGTGCTGGTCTACACTGGACCGGCAGCAGCGGCACGTCCACTCCGCCCGCCCTCTCGCTACTATTCTCTATTTCCGTTCACAAGCCCGAACAAGAATACATAATATTTATTATGAATATACCGCACGGGTAGGTACCACCATCCTACCCATTTCTGCCGTGAAGCAGTAATGCGTTTCGATTTGAAGGGTGGGGCAGCCGTTGTACTGTAAAAATGGAGCCCTTGGAACTTATATCTCAAGGTGGGTGGCGGCACTTTCGTTGTAGACGTCTATGGGCTCCGGTAACCGCTTACAAGTTCTGTGGGCACTTTACGTACACAACTATACTGATTTGATCATGGACGTGGTATATGAGTCTGCACGACAAGCTGGTTGATGTGTGGAGATGCTGTGTGTATGTGTGCAGATGGGCACCCCCCCCGCCCCCCGCCCCGCGCGCTCACACACACACACACGCTGCAGCCGGACCGACGGACCGACGGAACGGTAAATTGAGATGCCGCTACATCTTCACGGTTTCATTTCACGTTTTCTAACTCGAACACAGCTTAATGAATAATATCGTGGATCCACCCACGCCGACTCGCGTCAGCTCTGCCGATATTATATCATTATCAATCCGCTAGTGCCGAGGACAGGAACAGTAGGAAGTGCGACACCTAGGCTTTAGTGGCACCACGACTACAATCTGCACCAACGATCGTCACAGCAATCACTCTGGTGTTAACTCTCAGTCAACATAATAATGACGTGTAGATACTATTTTTAAAAGATGTGTTGATACGTCTATATACCTACATATGTTTATTTTTACGTTCTAACGCAACTTCGTTTCGATTTTACACCAAGCACAAAAAATAGCCAAACATAAGTACCCACTCGCGGTGTTGGGAATAAAAACTGGTATCGCGGTGTGCGCGGTGTGCGCGGCCGCCGCCTCGAGCCGTGGCGGTCACAACTAGAACGTGGTGCGGTGCGGTGCGGACACAAGCGAGGGGCTATCGAGGTTGTTTTCACTGGCGGCTCCCGGAGAAACGCGTTTCTCCGTCGGTCGGCCCGTCTCCCCGGGCCCGGCCCGGCCGCGACACGCGAGGCGCGCTCGACCGTGCCACACGTTCTGTTGCAGATATATACGAGTAATGTGGGCATTAACAAGGCGTGGCGAGTAGGAAGTGTCACGGTGATGAGAGTGTTGCTGGGCTATTGATGGGCTCGCATCACAGGTATACACTCGTACTAGCCGGGGTTGGTTCTGCGCCGCGACGGACGTGCCCTAGCACATGACAGGTACCGGCGAGATCATAAAATATGACAGGCGTTGCAGCCTGACAGAACCGACAATGATCCCAAGTATTGTCGGGTTCAGCGCCTAGTACTGCGCTGTGCTGTAATCTGCTATTATTATGTCCACTGCATCAGAAATACCTCCCCTACTGTTGGTCCGACGATCTTTTGGTACTTACGTATTAACGCCACCGCGGCAAAAATTCTATTCAACTTTCCTTTATGGTCCGTCGATTTTGGGTCGGGGTGGAGGTGGGGGGAGGGAGGGGGTAAGGGTTTACTCCCTGCACCATTCCCACCCCGCGGAACCCCATGGTTATGAAGATACCCACGGTTAATTTTTTTGATTAAAATTGCATTATTTAGTCAAACTCGAGCAAACGGTAGTTTAAGTTTGAATCCACCTTATCTCCAGCGCTGCGGGAAGAGCAGCCCTTCTGCCCTTGCGTGCCGAAGCACGGTCACTCGTGCTCCGCTCCGCAGCTTCGGCTCGTTGGACCAGCCTCAGGCGCTCCGCCTCGCACTGTTTCCGTGCTCCGTCACAGCGGGCGAGGACTGCTCTCCCTCCGCGCCTCCGGTTTTTTATACACACTCTAGGGGTAGGGCAGACAAGACCAAGTGGAAAGTGGGGTGCTCTGATTCGCTTTTCCATATTTTTCGAGTTGTCCACACTTGCTAAACATTAAACTTCTGCCGCGGTGGCGTTAATACGTAAGTACCGATCTTTTTTATCACAATAATTAGTTATAAGTTGTGGTTATATAGTACAATGGTCTGAAGACTGCAGTTACAAATATCCAAAATCCGTATTATTTGACAATAATTATTATATTTTGTTAAATATAAAAGAACATTAATTGATGAATTGGAAGTAGCGACCGAGTTGGTTGTAATGGTTCAGAAGATCGATGATAAGGCACAAAAGAATGTCATCTCGGCGGAGAACAGACACAGAGAGGAGACTGTGTCGGGGCTGGCGGGGCTGGCGGGGCGCAGGCGGCGCGTCGTTATGCAAGTTCACTTCCTAATATGCAAACATTTGTGAGATCACGACTCGAAAGATCATCGGATGCGATTCCAATATTTGGGTCGCGAAGAGATGTTACGATATAATCATTTAATAACAATGAAAGCAATTTATTTAGATACTTTTCTTAAGTGGCACTAGACTATACTTTTTTTAAATGTGATACTAAAAACGTAAGCGATTAGTTAATTTAATTCTCTTTCGAATTATGTAAGTTTGATAGAACCGACAGATGTTCCGTCGTGCCGGTCACATGTGGGGCGCCGCCGCCGCCGTGCCGCATGCCGTGCCGTGGTACTGAGCGGTACACTGGTCCCCGCGGGGACGCACCGAGGGAGTTGGTTCGACAGAGCGGACGACGAAAGTACTTTTATAATACGTGACACAGGTTTGTAATAGCACCTGCAGATTTAGAAAATGCTATTAAACGAGTGTAATCACAGTATCTGAGTTCAAAACTGTTGTTTGTGTTTGTTATTCCATAAAGAAGTGCACGGATCTGTGTCCAGCACCGACGGCTCATCTCGACTCGCCGGTAATGCAAGTGTAATGATAGTTGGCGCAGTCCTCGTACAGACGCCGCCGCCGCTCGCTCCGTCGCTAATCTCCGAGTGGAACGCGTCGTGTCGTGTCGAGGGGCGGAACCATTGCGCTTCACATAACCGGTTTGTTGTTCGTATTGGATCAGCACTTACAGCTCTGTGCATCCGCCCGCTTCGAGTCTTATACTCACTTCAAAGTCATGTAGATGTTGTCACTTCACCGAATGTTATTTATATCATGCCAAAGTGCTAGCTAGATGCACACGAGTAGTTTCCAGACATAGATGCATTCCATACGTTTAGACCCAACGAACAAGCCACGTACAGACTAAATTAGTAGACCTTACTGGCTGCACCAACAACTGCTCGATTAGAAATATATCGCGTGTGGTGTGTGCAGTGCGTGTGTTGTGTGGAGTGTGTGTGGTGTGTGCAGTGTGTGTGGTGTGTGCAGTGCGTGTGGTGTGTGCAGTGCGTGTGGTGTGTGCAATTTGTGTGCAGAGCGGAGAGAGCGGGCGCCCGGGCGGGCCGCCCAGCTGCGCGCGTTGCGTCACGCGCGTCGCACTGCATCATGACAGTGCGACAGTGCGACACAGCTTACACTGCAGTTACATTACATCACTCGGTCGTGATCGAGACTGTTTTCTACGACTTGAAGCTCGACCCCACGTAAAGAGAAGGGAGAGGAGAACGGAGTGCTTCGAAGAGTATATTTATAATGTATTTATTTATTGTCGTGTCCTTTCTTTAGTGCTGGTAGCGCCACTACTGATCGATCATTCATTTGTCTAACGTAAACTGCACATTAAATTCGGCCTGTTTGGTTAATCCAAGGCCTTTTTCGAGAGTTGACATACGAGTGGTCGGTATTAAAACGTTAAGCTGAATCGAGTTTAAACACGGAGTCGTGACTAGCTCACCCGGGGCACAACTGGTATGAGGCCCATAAGGATTAGAAAATGAAACAATCGTCTCAGTTACACGCGCAGATCTCGAAGCACATTACAATATTCAGTTTTGTATGATATTGTACGAAACGGCGTAATAGAAAGTTAGTTGTTTAACAATAGATCATTAAGATCACGCTCCAACTTTTATATGGTTAAACTGTTGTAATTACAAACAGACTTCGTGCTTGCTGTACGACTACAGCGACGGTCAGACGAGCTCATGTCCGCCATTGTTAACTGCTTGTAGAGTAGATTTGTTATTCCGTAAAACCACAAGAGATAATTCTTTATAGAGGCACTTATGTCTATCAGGTGTCTATCTATTTGACACGAGAGGTAGGCTTCGGCCTTCACAATGTGGATACGATGAGCGAGCCACTACACAAGGAGTTGTCGTCTATCTACGGCGGCCGCGTTGAGGGTTCTTCGTATATTAGTTAAATGGAATGCTGTTTATGTAATGTATCGCGGGGAGGCCGCTGTGTCCGCCATCGCGTTACATAAATGTGTACTAGAATTATTATTTCGGCATCGACTATCATCTCGTTGAACACATTAGCATCAATAAGCGTAAGATCTTTGAAACTGAACTGAATGTTGAGCTAGTGTTTCAATGTAACGGAGGACGCCGTTCCATTGACATAACTCGCCTCGCACGTAATGTAACTGTTTCTTTAAAAAAGGAAATCAAAACCTTAATGAGGTGGTAAAGTCGTAATGGTCGGGTCCAAGCAGGGCGTCTACGGGTTCACACTGCGAGGTAAAGCTATTCGCAGACTTCATTAACAAACAGAATAACCATTCTTGAAAATATATACATCGATGCGACAGGCAGGTTTCAGCCGAGCGTTTCACGAATCGCGAGACAGGAACAATCGAAACGAGCAACCCACCTTGTGTTGTGCTGGTCAGAGGTGTCGGGAGATCAATGCGAGCCGGATAGGCAGCGAGCTCATGCTCGTGCGGTCGTCGACCCGTCGGTGCGCCGCGTAACTGTACAACACTCACTAAACACTAGACTTGAAGCAGCTCAGGGAACCACACAGCGTCACCTCACGGAACGGACTGGCAGCGGGACGGCGCCGCGTGCGCCTGTGGCCTTGACCGCCCCTCTCCCCCGCCTGCCCCGCGGTCCCCCCGCCCGCGCCTCCCCGTGTCTCCCTGCGGTGCATCAGCCGGCACCGGCAGCACGGCGCGGCGCGGCGCCCGCGGCCCGTAGGTAGCCCGCGCTCGGCCTTATCCCGTTACGTTTGCCTACGATCGCCTTTTGTTATTATCTGATAACGGTAAGAGCACGAGTGACATTAGAGCGGTGATCAAACGAGAGTGACGCGACACGCGCTCGGCTCGGACAACAAGTCGAGTCTACAAATATTAAACAATAATATATAACTGTAAACGAGTTTCGAGTTACCTAGAACCTTCCTTACCTTACTTGTTGTTTAGCAAATTTTGCTTAAGTTCCTTATTGTCACAAGTGCGGAAAACAATAAATTGGTTACGTTAATTTACGCAAGACCATCGAAATACCTATAAACTAGCATGTATGTGTATACATACGTACGTGCAATACGTATACGATGTCGCACACAGATGTCACTGTGCATGCGCTGCAAGTCTGCTCGTGAGACTAATTTGTATTTACCATGAATCGAATAATGAAAGATGATGTCTTTTGTCTTTCATTATTCGATTGAATTGAACACGTCAAATATAATCCAAAACCACATAATATAGTAAGTGCATAGGTCTAAGGGAGTAAAATGTTTTGCTTACTTACCTAATACCTATATTATAATGAATCTTTTAACCTTTGAAGTCGCGTTGAGAGATGCACCGGTGTTCGAATCCTGCAGGCGAGAACCAATTTTTCTAATGGAATACCGTGTAGGTATATAATAAAAATGAAATACGTACTTAACGATTGTTCACGATTGGCTTTATGGTTCCTAAGGAACGAGACCTCCATGGTGAGTTGGAGCTTGACTCAGTCAGTACCTACAGTCGGCATCATTGTGTCACTTCGAGAAGGCGGCACGACATGAGAACCTCTTGTCGTGGCCGCCCTTAATTACACACCCGATTCTGAATGAACTGAACCGATTCTGGACTGAATGGTAAACAGTGGACGTCACCCTAAGCACGTCATTACGGATCCTCCCGATCCGTTAACGGTGTTTTTAAGTACCACAAACACCGGTCACCATCCTCTCCGAACCCGTCGCTTGCGACGAAGGGCTCGACGAGTGAATTAACCCATAGACTACTGAGTTTCTCGCCGGATCTTCTCAATGGGTCGCGTTTCCGATCCGTAGATTTTACGAAGCACTGCTCTTGCTAGGACCAGTGCCTCTTAAGGCTATCAGCATAGGTAGGAAAAAAAAGATTGGCTTTTACGGTGAAGGAATAACATTGTGTAATAAAAATGAACCCGCAAAATTATAAGTAGCGTAATTACTAGTGGTAGGACGTCTTGTGAGTCCGTACGAGTAGGTACCACCGCCTTGCCTATTCTGCCGTGAAGCTGTGTTTCGGCTTGAAGGGTGGGATAGCCGTTGGAACTATACTGAGACCTTAGAACTCATATCTCAAGGTGGGTGGCGGCATTTACGTTGAGCTTCCCTCGGCACTGTGGTGTGCCGCAGCGGCTCCTTCTTGGTGCCCTATTTTTATTGTTTTGACTGTAGACATTATCTGCTTGCCGATCTGATGATGCGCTACTTCTGCAGCACTACTGGCGGGGTATTGACCGTCCCGTTTCATCACCTGTCTACAACAGTATGGATCGGAATGCGTTCAAATATACCTAATTCAATTCAATTCTCGAAGAAAAAAACTAGAACTCTATACGATTACAACACAAATGAGAGTAGGGAAAAGTCGAGAGCTGGGGGCGGGTCCATGGGGGTGACATCCGCTCGAGGACGCTCCGGTCTCTCGACTCTGGGTTGAGGATATTTGAAGAGTCCCGAAACAATAATGTTACCAAACAATCGCCGTGTTAGTGTCGAGCTGGATTACCGTGGTGATGCTGGTGGAACTCTTTTATAACGAGTTAGAAATCTTGAAGCGTCTAGAAACACTTTCTTTGGAACCTGGTTTCCTTCAGTAACTTTGCTAAAAGTATTCAGAGTTGACCGGCGCGGATGGAGTATTTTCATGTGAACTCCCGTCCGTGTTCCTGACTCCTGTCTCCGGACTGCTGTTTCGTCTGAACTGCTCTACACCGCTACCTGCCGCTTGCTACTCCGTCCACTCAGCACCACTCAGTACACTAGGAGATACATTCGCAACAAGTGTTTGATGTTGTTGTTTGTTTGAGTTGTTGACTGTTTAAGGCGAACCGTCTTCAATTATAACATTATTTAAACAATAATACACTTTAACATTTTCAACAAAACCCAACAATCATAATCACCTATATTTAAATTAAATTAAATTAAACAATTAAATGAAACAAACACTGTTTATCATGATATTTATAGTATATGTTTAATAATACAGCAAGTAGGTACACTGAGCTCGCGTCGGCGCCCCCCCAACACTATTTATGTGTTAATAGTGTTTATGTGTTATATATGTATGTATATAGTTATGTATATATCTATTTAGTATTTACTTATTTAGTATTTATGGCCAATTGTAGGTTATATACTTTGAAATAAGACAGATACTTCAAACATTACTACACAAAAGCGAGTCGACAATTTATTGACTCAGAGTGTAACTAACCACTTAGAGTGCAATGTGAATAAACAACAAAAATGAAGGTCCTCGAAACTAAAAACGCAAGATCGGACCGCTTACTTCTGTTTTATTTATTGAAATGACATTACAACTATGATTTAATTGGCTGTACATTAGAGTTGACGTTCTAAACGGCGCGACCTCGCGGGTCCGGCACGCGGCGCACACAGCACACACACAGCACACAGCACACAGCACACAGCACACAGCACACAGCACACACACAGCACACAGCACACAGCACACGGCGCACAATAGCAAGAAGATCACACCCGCCGGCGCAGACTGATGGGTCGGGCAGGAGTCGCTGCGTGATTCAGATACTTTATACACGTTCTATAAGCCGCCTATTTCGCAATCATCCGTATACCTATAGACACAAATAGACAAAATCAACACAGCCAAATATAATAATTAGGTACCTTTTCTCGCCTGTTTGATGGCCGATTTTTTGTTTTGTTTTTAGTAGCCATTGACGAGCTTGATTACTTTTATAAATAAAAAATAGAAGTAAGATAATTTTTCATAAGCAAATGACACAACAAAAGACTAAATGTAACTTCTATAATACATAAAATGAACCTAAGCTCTGTGCAGGATCCGGGTGATCAGTAAGTGGGCCCTAGCTCACTCGACGAGGGTTTGTGTTGCTCTGTTGCGACACCAGGACTAGTGTGCTGTGTGTGCCGGTGTGCTGAGGTGCACGTTTGTCGCGTCTGAATGCCAGAAAGCTTCTTATCTCTTCACGTGTAACTTTCCGTTTTACAGTACAACGTCTGCCTCACCCTTCAAACCGAAACGCATTACTGCTTTACGACAGAAATATGCCAAGTCGTGATACCTAACCGTGTAAGCTCACAAGAGGCCTACCACCAGTAATTACGCAATTTAAATTTTTTTGCGGTTTTTAGTTTTACTACACGAAGTTATTCCTTGACCGTGGAATTCATCCGTGCGTTTTCGTGTAGTGTGTATTTAATCAGAAACATTAGTACCTCCGGCAGGATACCAAAACTTCTAAAGTGAGTCAATCCTTCCGGCCTCCTGGCCGCAATAGGGAGTCGCTATTGCTGCCCTGTACTGAGGCACTGGAATGAAGTCCATGTTGGCTCAAGACCAGCCATGGTCAATGTAAAATAAATAAAATGAACTGCTTTTTTAAAATTTTGTATTACTAACACTTCATATGGAATTTAATTCTGAAATAAAATTTATTATTATTATCATAACATTCACATTATAACATTATTAACGATATTAACCGCAACAGACCTCCCTCCCGAGCAGGGTGGCTCGTTCGTGAGTAAAGTTATATTAACGCAAGCACGAGGACACGCCGCCGCGCCGCGCATAACTATTTATGCATGAGATTAAAGACCTACTTACATTTAATGGCATATTTTTATTTTATTGCTTAGATGGGTGGACGGGCTCACAGCCCACCTGGTGTTAAGTGGTTACTGGAGCCCATAGACATCTACAACGTAAATGCACCACCCACCTTGAGATATAAGTTCTAAGGTCTCAGTATAGTTACAACGGCTGCCCCACCCTTCAAACCGAAACGCATTACTGCTTCACGGCAGAAATAGGCGGGGTGGTGGTACCTACCCGCGCGGACTCACAAGAGGTCCTACCACCAGTGAGTAATCCTAGAAATAAACCACTTACAATGGCCTCTGCGGTTGTAAGCCGCTGCAGCTGCTCACGTCGACATGTCATCGCAGCATTCGAGAACGACAGAGCGACAGAGGGGACACGTTTGTTCCGAAGAATATTAAATAATCGATCACAACGCGTCCGCCACACAATAGTCAGAGGCTCGTTTAATTACGTGAGCAGGCGCCTCCCCCGCAGCTCGCCAGCTACCTCGTGTCCAGCGGCGATCGCTTCTGTACCATGACCAATCGATCGGTCAGCGTTGTTCTTGAGCCCCAATGCTGTGTCTGTCGCGGTTCGTCACGACTCACGGTGCCGACTCAGTAATGGATGTTGGAAGGTCAGAGAGTAGCATCGTGCGGTAGGAGGTCGCCGCCGCCAGAACTCGGACGGTGGCCTCGGTCATGATCACGTACTCCGCGTCGCGTCATGTCGGCACTGCAGACGAACGCTCGTGTGTGACTTCCTGCGGCCAGCTCCTACTTCCTTATCATCGTTTCGAAGTACATTTGAATATTCTCCTCTGAGTTTCTCTAAACGCAGTAATGCTTATCTCTCGGTGAGACTGTACTGTTAGTTGAGGTAGGATAGTTGTTATCTCTATATATACATATAAATGAATTGCTGTTCGTTAGTCTCGCTAAAACTCGAGAACGGCTGGACCGATTTGGCTAATTTTGGTC